TAGAGCGGCGAGTGAAGGAATTGACAGCCAGTAGAGTCGAGGGGCAGGTGTAGTTAAGTAGGAAGCTCAATTCGGTCATCTCCGGTTTGGATGACACGATTGAGAACTTGGAATTAGAATTGTTAGCCGTTTTGAGTAGGATAGGAGTAGATAGGAGCTCAACGGGCATGGTAACTGCCGAATCTACTGGCATCGCACATGTTGGGGGCTTGCACCTTAGCGGTTGATGTCGGAGTTTAGTTAGGAATAAAGAGGATCAAGACTCTGTCTTCGGAGAACTTTTTCATTAGTTAATTTTTCAATTTTCATTCTGCATTTTTCCGCGCGTTAGTGAATTGTGTGTTTTGTTACCGTGCGCAAGTTGGTTCAATTTGTCGAAGATACTGCATCTGAAGTAGAGTGTCCAATTCGGATGTTTTGAGTGGTGCATAGTGTAGCTCATGGTTTAAGCAAATTTGTACATTGGAAGCTCAGTGTAGCCGGCTCAGTGTATAATCTTGGGAAATTTCCCCCTGAATATCAATTGCAGAGTCGTGTGTGAATTATGTAGGGACTTATTGGATAAATTTTAGGATTCGAATGTGACTTCATCCTGCAATGTGATGCCTTCGGACTTAGCCATTGCAAATGCTTTTGGGAGTGACATGTGCCTAAGAAGTAAAACTTCTCAATAGAATGTTAATATGTGACATTACTTGGTTCTCTGGTATTGTTTCTGTCCTCGTGATATCGGATCTTTACCATTATGCTCCATTTTGGTTATTGTATGTCATTACAACTTGATTAACTTCATGACAATCCAACATAAGTTAAAAAAAGCAAGTGGAATGAAAGTCATTAAATTTTGTAAATTAAAACTGATGAAGTTGAAATAACCTCAAACGATGATCATAATACAAATGAAACGAGTTCAATCATTGCAAAATATATATATCATAAATTTATTTGAAACTATGAAGTTGAAGGTATTCAAGCAAGATGAAAACAGATTTTATTTGTTTGTCTAGTATCATAATTTGACAATGAAAGAATACATAGACATTAAATCCATATTGTGTATCAAACTATATATTGTATACATAATTTCCAAAAATAATCAAATTGAATTTAAATAAGAAATGTACACATCATCAAGAATTCTTATACAAATATGTTGATTGTTTTTGAAATACTTCTTCAATATATCTAAAACTAACATACAATTTGTTCTTGCCACAAGAGAAAGCTATAAATTCTACTAAAATTATTCAAACTAGAAGTAGTAGTAAAAATTATCATCAAATTACTTTGAATATTACAACAATAATTTCTAAGGTTATGACTCGAATGATGTCAAGACGATCAACAATGAGATATGTATATACATATATATAGATTTTCTTTATTTTGTATATTCATAATTCGTAAAATTTGAAAGGTTTTGGCTAGACGTGATTGATCTGATGTATATTTTATAGATCGCTTGAAAGTACCTTCGATAAATCAAAATATATCCTTGACATGGAAAGTTTCACTTGCACAAAAAATTTAAAGTTGGAGTAAGAGCGAAAAGCCATGATATTCATGTTGAGGGAAGTGTACATGCGATCTCAAGTGAACCATCTTCAGCAAGTGTGGCAATTTTCTTTACCCACAACTTCTAGACAGCATGCAGACTTGTAGACAATGATAAATAATGGTTGACATATTGATACAGTTGGAGCCGGTCCGGAAGAGTTATTCCGATTGAGCCGCAGGTCTCTCGGCTTGGGCGGCAGCCCAGTCCGAGAGAATTCGACATTAACCGAAGAAGGAAGAAAATACCTCGACCAGTGTCAACCATGCAGTGGGGAATCTCGCTCACCAGATTGTTACTGCTCTGGGAGAATTTTGTGCGCAGCCCGAACGCGCGGAAACAGGCCCAAACATCTTCCCCGTCTTCCCAAACATGATCTCACGCTCGACGTAATCGCTGGATCCAGTTGCAGCGGCTAAAGTGCAACAGCTGGTCTCAAACGACCTGGTCTCGCGATGTCGCGAACATGTGTGCAGCGAAATAAGTATTCAGGCCAACGACTGAGTCATGAATTGCAACGTTCGGAATCGCTTCTTCACGACGAGCGGATAGCAAGTGCGTAGTAATGAGTACTTTCTTGGCGCCTTTCTCGACTAGGATTTGCTTAATGTAAAATTACTTTTGCACGGATAAGCTTGTGTTCTCTAGCGTGCTGCAGATCCTTTGTAGGTCTTTTGCGTTGACATCGAAAGAGCGTGGACTTTTTCACCAGTTCCGACCGGAATTCCATTCCATTATCAACCCAAAGCCTGGAGGTTTCTTCTCAAAGTCCAATGAAATTGATGGTACAAAGCCAGGCCGCACCTTCAGATCGTGATAAGGTACGTTGACATTGAGATTTCGTTACAGAGCTCTGTCTTGCTGAATGACATAAGCTCGACATGGCAAGTCAACAAGCCTTGAAGGGCGAAGATACCTCCACCAGATTTCACTGCCTTCTGTCATGTCAAAGTGGGGCCCATCCGCAAAACAACGATCTCTGAACTTCATCCACAAGGACTGAAAAGATATTTTGCTGACACCTCGTATCTCCATGAATTTTACTTACTCATCAGCTCCAACGTAATGGACACGTTCCGACAATCTGAACAATTCCCATTTTTATTCCAAACGAGTTAGCTGCATCACCTTCGAGTAGACAGAATAGTCAATTTTTATCTTTAGACCATGCATCCGACGATCACGCCAATCCGGATCGTTTGGAGACTGTGACAAGACTTCAAGCCAGAGCTCTAATACAGGAACCTAATCATATCAGTTTAGTGAAGAAAGTGTTCTCATCCCATTTTGTCACAACTCCTCTTCATGCAAGGTTTATGGGGTCTAGCCCCTGGTCTCCCGTTGCTTTTGTTCCTTGTTCGTCTGGACCAAATCTTCACATCGGTTTTTTATATCGATGAGGCCTAAATCATTTTATCTTTACATAGTTCGGATTTCCGACATGAGAATAAGAACTTAGCATTGATGCACTTGGATTTGTGATCTCAGCAGCAGAAGTTCATATTCTGTTATACTAGATGCATACATGTTATATTTAGCAATTGGCCGATTGTGCAATAGCCCCATTCGTATTGTAACTGCCGTAATCAATTCTACGAGATTGAGTGCTAAAAGAGGTGGAGTTCTAGCGTGAAGTCCAAGTCTGCCTTTATGGGCTCCGTAGCGTTAAAATTTTGAATATGGAAAGTTACTTGGGTAGACTTGAAATCTTTGAAGCACAGTGTCAAGGGTTGGCATTGTGAGTGATATTCTTGTAGAAAATTTTAGATCTGCAAGATAGCATAAGAGAAAGTGTGTATACAAGTTCAAATTGTGATGTATACTCAAGTTAACCAAACGAGTTTACATTTCAAGAACCTCCATCGCAAAATGAGATTTCAACTTCGCATAAAGACCTCATGTTCTACAAAGAAAAGCCTGAACAAAATTGGTATGGGTGACTGCTTCATTTCCAAATTTACCGGGCACTTTTAGTGCTCATCCGAGCAGTCATGTGTTAGGAGGAGTTCGATGCTTGGCTTTGATCAATGGGACAAGACGTCGGTTGAATAGGAACACAGCAGCTCTGTAGAAAATGTACGTGTGGCATCCGTGAGGTAGAGGATATGGGAAGGAAATCAGCGTGCTATGTGCAGGATACTAATTCGTTGACGACTGCGGATAACTCTACTCCCCTTCCTTCGACGTGCGTGCCATTATAAAAAGCAAGCAAAAGATGAGCTGCGGAAGGGCTTGTAAATGACTTATCGTGCTTGTCATTTGATACAGTATTCTCACGAGCCATCTCTTATCTGAGACAGCATTGGCCTCACTTCTCCACAAATCTTTGAGATTTTGATGTGGTATTCACGTACGCCTCCACAGTTCTTCGCGTGGCAAAGCAGTTATTGACTAGCACTACCCGCAAACCCTTCATCAACAAGTGCACCAATCTTTAGAGCTTAATGTTCAGGCCAGCTGGACAATTGGACCAAGTCTATGTCGTAATTTCTCACGAGTGTGCTAAGTGCTGAGCTGTCAATGATAGTAGAATATTCTATACCTGTTCTCTGTAAAAGTCTGAGACTCGAAAGTAGAACCGTATAAAGTTGTGTTAGTTGCACGTGCAAAGTATTGATTAGGACTCGATACTTGACGCCACGTCAGCACAGAGACGGGCAGTTCCATAGAAGTACAGAGTGTACGCAGCTTGTACGACTAAGACGCTTATATAAAAATAGGGATTTGCCTGAAAGAGTTTTACGGTCCGATTAGAACTCCCAGCCCCTTTTAGATTGCATCAATTTCGTCATCATTTTGAAGTGAACTTTTTTGAAGTGAACTGCACAATCACAAATTGCTCATTACAATGATGTCTACAGCATCTAACAGAAAGTAACCTTTCGGATGAACTTTTTCTTCTATCATTAAGTGGTAGTAGATAATAAGTGAAAACAAGATCGAATGAATTCAGTACGCGAAATTAGGAAGTACGTGGAAATGCAGAGTGAAGGACAATTTTCTTGCAACATTCCTTCTGTGAGCATCTCTCTCTCTTTCTGTGCCAAAATCCTCCTCAAATATTCTCTGAATGTCTTCGTTAACTGTTTACGTGGAAGACATTGATGGACTATTACGGCCGTGTGAGTTTCCTGAGCAAACAGGTTGCGTCTATGCAAAGATGATAGTTATCTTCACTGCGATTTCAATATCCAGTTGGGCTTACAGAAACCATGGCGCTCGGTGCGAAAGATCAAGCAAAGGGACGAAGAGGAACAAGGGTGAGATGATTAAAAAATCTGCATTGGACATGCATAATTGATATAAAAAACGCTTAGAAGTTTTGAGTCGTTGCAGTTTATGTATATTCCTCCTTTTCAACTCAACTCGTTTGGACAGACCTCAGGTTGCTCTTAATCCGGTTAGCCAAATAACCGCAATGCCATGCGCGAGAGTTCAATTCAAGTCCAATGGTAAGCGAAATTTTAATTTCCTTAAAAGAGTTCAGAATAGGATAGTCGTAATGCCTATGAATTTATGGCAACATCTACTGAAATTGATCGTGAAAGCTATCTGACGAAACATCGATTTCAAGCACGAGCACAAGCACTACATACTGTGAACTAGTCTACTGTGATTTCTAATCTGATACTTCGCGATCAGAATTGGGTACCAGGTGGTGGCCTTTTGGAAGGCACATTGCCTGTGAACATATTGTTGGACAGATCCAAGTACTCAAGGGACGGTATGTTCTCAACGGAAGCCGGGACTGTGCCAGTCAACCCATTGTCGGAGAGATCTAAGTATTGTAATCGACTGAAGTCCCCACTATTAGCCGGCAACGGACCGCTCAGGCTGTTGAAAGACAGGTCCAAGTAAGTCGCATCTATCAGGCCTGCGAAGAATGTCGAGGGAATGGGCCCGTAGAACCTGTTGTGACCGAGATCTAGAGTCGACGAGGGCGCCGCAGTGAAGGAATTCGTCGGGAGCTGGCCGTTGAACATGTTGTAAGAGCCATTCAACTTCGACAGGTTAGGAAGGGAGAAGAGAGATGGAGGAAAGGTGCCCGTGAATTTATTGGCCGAAATGTCAAGGATCTGGATGGTCTGAGAAGTAAAAGCGATCAGGGAATTGAACCATGATGGAATGGGTCCTGAAAAGCGATTGTTGGCCAGGTAAAGCTCCGCGAGTGGGGAGCTGGCCGGTAATGTTCCCACTTGTCTGGAATCCCACAAGAAGTTGCTGGACAGATCGACATAGGTACACGACGCCAGAAACAGAGGGAAACCTCCACTGAAGAAGTTCTTGCTAGCATAGAAGCTGAAGTACTTGCCGGAACTACAAAGGTTGGGAATGGCTCCCGACAGAATGTTGTCCGAAACGTTGAAGAAAAGTCCATCCCCTTGGCTTCCAGCGGTTGCAATCGCTTGAGGAAGACTTCCTTGCAGCTTGTTAGAATTCAAGAGCAAGTTAGTGAGCTTCACGAGCTTGCCCAGCTCGGGGGTGACGCGGGTCAAGTAGTTCGTAGACAAGTCCAGGAAGCCGAGGTTTGTGAGACGCCCGAGGGATGCAGGCATTGGGCCAGACAGCGAGTTGTTGTTGAGGGACAAATACACGAGATTTACCAGGTTTCCGATCTGCGCTGGAATACTTCCAGACAACTTGTTGTTATCTAGTTGAAGCTCCTCCAGCTTGGACAGACGACTGAGAGTGGCAGGGATGGGACCTGTGAGCTTATTGAAACTTACAACAAATGATGTAAGCTTCGGTTGATTGTAGCCGATGCAATTCGGAATCTCGCCGCCCAAATTGTTCCCGGACAAATCATATGTTGTCAGCTGGTTGAATCTGCAGAAACACGCTGGGATGTTTCCGGTCATGCCAAAATTGATCTCCATCGACTGAAGCTTGACCAGGTTGCACAAACTCAAGGGGACTGGAGCAGGGACTAGGCCTACGACAGGAAAAGGCCCGTATAAGTCGACTCTCATGGTCTTCAAAGAGGTGGCTCCCCCGATGGACGGAGACACTGACCCCGAAAAATTGTTGAAGACGAGTTGCAGATCTTCCAGTTTCTTGAGCTTGTTGAATGTGTTGGGCATGGGACCGTCGAACGAAATGGAATCGAGCTGCAAAGACACGAGTTCGGAGAGATCACCCACAGTGGCTCCAACAGCACCATTGTAGCTTGGATTCCGTCTCGGAGTAGGTCCCCTGGTTGGGAATGGGGCCAGAATCTGCAACCCTTGCACACGGCCAGACGAGGTGCAGTTCACCATACTCCAGGTGCAGCAGTTAGTTCCTTGTTGCCATGATATGAAAAGGTTGCCAGGATCTGTGAATCCTGCTTTAAATTCCAGCAAAGCTTTGCTGTCCCCTGCATTACATTGCTGCCCGTTGCATCGACCAATGCAGAGCGAAAGGACGAGGATTGTGGCAGTCCACACGCCTTTTAAGTTCGGTTCCATGATACCAGATGAAGAACGATCTTCGTGCTCAAACTGAAAATTATGGACAGATAATAGAGGTAAGAAAAACTCTCGGCGGGAGGTTTCGTTTACGTCGGAAGAAAAAACTTCTATGACCCTGTACGAGGTGTTCAGAGCTCCATCATCCTCATCTAACAAGTCTAGTAAAGGCACTGAGATTTTTACATAATCGGTTCTGATATGGATGTTCTTACGATCTTCCCACGAACATGAATGGAAAACTAGAGCAATGGACTTGGCCCAGAAGCGATGCTAATTGCGGCCACAAGATGAAACTAAGATGAAACCACTGATCCTTTCCGACAGCGCAAATGTATCTATTAGACGATGAAAGGACTCACCGACTGGAGCTTCCTGAAAAGAATGTAGCCACCCTGAACGTTGACACTATTGTAAATCAAGTCATAATTCGAGCCGACGGCCTGCCACGCTGGGAATGACTGTGTCAGAAGAGCGGAGAGGAGAGCTTAAATAGGCCATTGAGCTTCAGGACATCAAGCGAAACGACCGAGCCGTAATGCGGGCGCCGATGCTCGCCAACTTTATCCGAAGCCTGTAAAGTTGGCGATCATCGGCGCCATGGAACCTGAGATTGAGGCACCATATATTCCGTGAATGATGACACTCCAGGGAGTACAGTGCGCGCAGATCATGCACAGGCACGTTGACATTGGGATCAAGCACCACGGTGCGTTCTCGTCTCACGGAAGAGTCAGCACTATAACTGAAGTTCTGATACACCTCCTCGGTCGTGGGCCCCATGAGCTCATTGACATCGATGTACTTCTACATCCGTGACTCGGACAAAAGTTGAGACAGAGGTACAGTGGATGTTGAATACTTGTGAATCTTGTTCCCACTTTCTACTTCGACCGACCGGATCTATCCCCGATCGCAACAGCGCTCTCCTGCTCTCCTGTACCCCTGCACCCCCTGCGTATCTGATCGGTTTCAATCAAGTGTGTGGTCAAATCCTGCTTACACGAAGACCAGGTGACGCCATAGCATGTTTAGGATAACACGATTAAATATTGCGTACACATGGATATACTAACGTGACACACGGATAATTTTACATTTGGAATTTCAGAATTAAAAGTTTCTCCCTCCTCCGATAAACTGCATACGATGATAATAATATAACAAAAAATGTATTATAGAAATGTAATTGACAACTACGAGTCACATTATTCATTACAACTTGCACAGATGAACACATTATACAGACTAGTTAATGAGGAAGTTTGGTCGACAAAAACAAAATAATGGAATGAATAAAATAACATTCATGGTAGTGTACAATTTTTGATATGAAATAAATATGTATATGATAAAAATGCAAATGTTCTTATAGTTGATTTTCTGTTCACATGAATTAATGTATATATAAATTAGATTCTCTCAAATTAAACTTGCTTAAAAAAAGTTTCACATTAACTCTTTTTTATATTATCATTTCATAGAATAAAAAATTTGCAAATTAGAAATTTTTTGTTTGTGTCTTGTAACTCTAAATGGTTGATAACATAAATATATGATTGAAATAAAAAAATTCATTCCAAAATTTTTAATTTTGAAATATGAGATCTAAAAAAATTTTAAATTGAAGGATTTAAAAGTTTAACTTTCTTACATTGATTTTTATATTTTTACAATGAAGAACCAAAAATCCTTGTTTGATCAATCAATTGTATAAAATAATGCATATATATTAATATTTCACTATACTAAATTTGAATTTATATGAAAATGATTATGGATAGCAGATATTTCAAATTAAAATTTAATCATGTTATAAATTTGCTAATTTTCTTCATTCTCTGCTTGATTTATGAACATTATATAAAAGTTACAAATAAGATATCTAAGCACATTAGCATCAATGTAAATTCTTTACTTTGAAACAAGTGTCATGTGTTGTCAATTTTCTTCAAAACTGTGTTTAATTTTATAAGTGTACAAGTGTGTTTTCTTATTATAAAAATATCTTTGCTTTCAATTATTTGATTAAGAAAAATTATAAACACAATCATACTATAAATTAAATTTCATAAGTCGAAATGAAATATATGCTGCAATAAAATCTGTTTGTAAGTTTTAAATATATATAAAAATAAAGCTAAGTTTTTTTTAAATAAAATAAAATAAAATATCTTTATTTTTTATGATTTATTTGATATTGTTATTTTTAAAATTTTTTAAAAAAACAAATAAAAAAAATTATTTGTTAAAAATTATTTGACAACTTCGGTGAGTTTTAACTCAATTGATGATAAGATTAAATTTTCATAATATAAAGGAGCTCACAAAACTCTACAAAAATTTGAATTTTCTCTTATAAAACCTTTGTATCCGTGCATTTGAAGTTAACAAGCGTCTTGTTAACCATAATTAGCCTTGATCTGTAGTTAGGATTTGGGGTACTAAGGATTCAGGTTTTGGTCTAAAACTAATCAGGATTCAGGATACTTAATGCTAAAATGAGTGCATTCAATTTAATCTCACATGTACATTTGATGGAGATAGATGGAGATAGTATAGAGTTTGGCTATGGAGATCTGATGTGATATATTTGCTTTAGTGAAATATCTATCTCGCCCGTGGACATAGCCTCATGTGGAAGTGAATCATACATTCGTGTGTGATTCTTATTTTGTTGGATGTGTGTCCTTGTCCATTCTTGAGTTTTTTTTTGTGGTATGGCATGACAATTGATGTTAGATCTTGGTCATAACAATGGTCTTTATGTTGATTGTACATTCTAAGAGACACCATTATGATGATACAGAAGCTATCAAAAAAATGAAAATCAACAACACATAATCAAGCTTCATGCTCAACATGATTTGTGTTCTATAACCTGTTTTTATTTGACTATAAATTTGGCAAAACGATTAGCAATATGCATTAAAAATATGATTTTTCTTCAAAAAAAATTTATATATTTTTTTTAGGATAACACTTTTTGAAACTTACGCAACAAAGAAAAAATGATTATAAAAAAAATATAAGAGAAGATAGTAGTGAATTTTGCAAATTTTGTATCAATGATTTGAAGATTGCATCTTTGACAACACTTTTATTCTTAGCAGAATTTATTTTGTGATACCTGCTATAAAAAAATTTGTTTACTCATGACAATCATTATGGATACAATCATGTGACACAAGCAAAAACTTAAATTTAAGATGGAGCAAATCCTTGAAAAGGAGTAATTTGAGAAACAAGTTATCGTTAATGAGCTTCAAATTACAACATAAGACGATAAAAATAAATCAAATTATCTAGTTGAAGATCATCAAAATTATATAACTTTTATAGTGAATTATGAATTCTTGAAGATCATAATATTGAGATTAAAAATGTTGATGACATTTTGTTGATTTTGAAAGAAATAAAATCTTGATCCTATAAAGATACTCAAGACTCTTTGTAATCATATTTAGTTACTTAAAACTAAAGTAGAGATTACTTTAAATGTTGATATAGATAAATTAGCGTGCACCAATCATAATTGTCACGTCAGCAATCCGCACGTTTGGTAGGTAGAGAGTAGATGTGTTAGTTGACAGTGTCACGTTATCGATCCGTGTGTTTGTTAGGTAAGGATTGAGTGTGTTAGTTATTGTGTTAGTTGAGAGCGCCACGTCAGCAACTCGTGTGCTTGTTAGATTATCCGTCACGTCTTCCATCCACTAGAAGTGGGATGGATGGTGGGAGGGAATAATTGTAACAATTATTGATGGAAACTCAAGATTATATAAAAAAAATTTCTCACAGACAAGTCTTTGATGTTTATAACTTACAAAACTTGAAAAATCTAGGCTAAAACTCAGACTGAACGTTAGATGAAATATTTACGTACAGATGATAATAATATGTTTAATTTTGAGTAGTTTTTGAAAAACTACAAAAAAAACAAATACTTGTTATTTCAGCCCGACTTATAATCTGCAACACAATGTTATTTTGTAAAAGGTTTACAATATGTTGAACCAATGTGATATGAATTTTACTTTGAAATTGTTAATACTGCATTATATATAGGAAAACATTTCCCTTTTATTACAATCAATTTTTTGACACCGTTTGAACTAAGTCATTAACGTATGGTTCTAAGTCAATTTTACTTGTACCACGTAACAAGTTACTATTGCCTAGAAGTGTCAAGTATTAAAATCTCATGAGTCATAGTCTTGAATATCATACATGAGAAATCTAAAGTTAGATGTCTCATGTTGATTGTTAGAGTTGAATAAAGTTGATTTCATCACAAATGATAAAATCTTCTAGAAAATATAATTTGTTGTACTTATGATCTTTCAATCTGATCGTATCAAGTCATTTCATTTTGAGCATTTCCAATCTAGCCTCCATTCAAGATCTTTTGAATCTAACATTCTAAAAGATCAAATTGTTTTTCATATCAAAGCTAGATGTAGATTGAATGAATATATGTAGAAAATCATCAAACAATTATATTTTAACAAATTTTGTATCCTAAATACTATAAGAATAATCATTGTACATAAAAACTTGAGAGTTTGATATGGAGTTAGTTTAAAGAAAATCTGCTAATGTATCAAATGTGATAAAAACAATCACTATCTACAATCTATATAAAATTAGCATCCCTTGGTGAATTGCATAGATTATATTTTTCGCATCATACTTTATTGTCTAGTAAGTCATTCTCCGTAGGGTCAAATTTTGGAATCACATTGACTAAAAAAATATCACCACCTTTGTTTTTCACATGGCAATACCTATTGACGTGACCGCTCTTGTCGCATTTCTAATACACAACCGTCCTTTTTTTCTAAATATTCATATCTTGAAAACCGCTTGTTCTTTTTCTCAATTTATGAATATAATCACAAATGAACCGTATCATGGTAAATGATGGAAAAATTGACAACATCATTTTTTATTGTAAGTTATCAATCAACTGTAATTTTGTAATAAGTTATAAATGATTAATTTTCTTCATAATGACAAAAAATACGTGACAATGATCATAAAGGTCATGTAGTGAATTCAAAGGATTGAAAGCTTTACTCTTAGTATTCATATCTCTACAAGATTTTAAAAAACAATAACAAAATCATCAAATGTATTGATATGATCTTGTATTTTTGTGCAAAATTTTTTCATCTCAAAATTCATTAGCTTCAAAAAGTCATACAACTGGTTTGATAATTCTTTGCAATGAAATCGTCACTCAAGAGTCTCAAATAGTAAAACACATTTGTCATATTCATTCATCTGCTTTAAGATCAAAGAATGTAAATGTAATACAACAATAGCTAAAGCGTGTTGCTAGATATCTCTCCAATCATAATTGTCATAGGTGGATGATTCTGACCTTAACGTCTTGCTTAGATTCATGGTCTTCAACTTTCCATAGACTTGTTTCTCTTAAATCATATATTTATCATTTTTGTCATATTTGATTATGTCATGTGTGGTAGGCCAGTTTTTTTAGTTTTTTTCAGGAATAAAGTAGTTATGGCGGAAAATCCACGTCATTTTTAACTTTTAAAGTAGAAGTAATTAGATTAGAATAGAATAGGTACACTAGCAGTTAGGAATTAGTAATAACCTTGAAGGAACTACACTAGAAGCGGTCGGCCTTCGGAGGTCGGCGAGGTCCTAACCCGAAGGAGCGGATCAAGAGGTCCCAAGAAGAGGTA